CTAACGTGGTCATCGAGTAGGCGAGAGCATTAGGGTGAAGTCCTAAAAAGGTCCTCATATTTCTGCTGTGATATTTTTCTTCTTCCCTGTGGAACAGAAAGAATAGCCATTGGGGGGGAAAAATAAGTATATACGGCTTGCAGTTCTCATGGCACAGCTCGGAATATGCTTTCTGATTTTTTAAAAATCTACGTGCAGCTGGAACCAGAACTTCCAGAGGGTTAAGGGTGAAGCGCCTCAGTTTAAAGCGTAATCATAATTTTCTGGAATTTAGGATTTTTTTGTGTAATATTTAATGGTACTTAGAGACAATCAGTGGATGACTGAAACATAACACAAATATGACACTAAAGTCTTAAACACCACTATGTTTGAATTGGAACAAATGACAGAAACATTGCTCTTGGGAAAAAATAAGGTTAATTAATACCAAACATTGTTTTCACAAAATGGTAAGTATGGTATAGGTCAATGGTGGCGAACCTATGGCACGCGTGCCAGAAGTGGCACACATAGCCATCTCTCTGGGCACGCCAGCTGTCGCCTGTTGCTCTTCTGGGTTCCAGTGCGCACATGTGCGCCAGCCAGCTGGTCTTTGAGCACGCATGCCAGAAACCGGAAGGCCAGGCAACCGGCTTGCATGCGCACGCCGGAAACTGGAAGCTCATTTTCCCAGTGTGTGCATGCACGCTAGGGACGTGCTCTTCCGGTTTCCGATGCTCCCCTGCATGTGCAGGCTCCCGTTTCGGCACTTGGTGCCAAAAAGGTTCGCCAACACTGGTATAGGTGATAATTCAAAACAATCTGGTTAATCTGATCAGTTTAGCATGGAAAAAAAGTTTTGCATTATCTAATGCACCGTGCTGAATTTTTAAAAGAAATTAATTTGTGACTATCAGCTGCACAGGGTGTGTTCCTTTCTCTGTGGGAAAGGAATTAATGTATTTTTTTTTTTAGAAGGGCTGTGCTACCAACCTGTAATTTGGTAATGAATAAGTTCAGAAAGGATTTATTTATTATTTGCATGTATAATAACGAAAAAGAACAAGCAAGAGTACATTGGATTTTGGCCAATATACGTGAACACAGCCAATGAAAAGAACAAAAGGTGGGTGATTTATATACATTTGAATAATAAATACATATATATATATATATAAATACAAGCTAAAATAAGATGGTGGGTGTTAAGCTAGATTTTAATACAGGGCAGAAACTGAGTCTGTTACGAATCAAAACATTTTGTCCTCAGCTAGCGCATAAAACCGTTGATTAAATTAGTTAAAAGGACAAACAGTGTGCCTGCCTGAACAAAGCTAAATGCTGACAGGGAATATAAATCTTCTTTTAATTAGAATATAATTCACACGAACCGCTAGAGGGCAACATTTTCTCACCTACATTGGTCCACGCCTAGTCAAAGAGCTTAGCAATTGGACAAGATTTAACAACAGAAAATAAAGAGCATCATCGACTTTCATGGACCCATCCGGAGGGAAAAAAAGGACATTTGCCTTCCAACTGAGATAACACAGAAGGAGCACAAAAGAGTCTGCCCCGCTCTTTTCACCTACGTTTTTATTTTATTTTTTTAATTTTAATAAACCAGGATATGGACCACAATCCACTGTATATACAAAAAAATAAAAAAAAATAAAACACCCTACAATTCAACAGACGTACAAAACCCCTGTAAAAGGATATAGTTAATCCACCTATTTGTACAGTATGTTACAAAAGCAAACTAGAAATCAGTTAAGCAGAGAGAGAGAGCAGTGCTGCCCTTTAGTAATATTTATTTCAAAGGAATCCCAAGATTGATGCAATTAATGCCTGGGGTAAGATTAAGAATGAATGGCATGCAACACACGGAATATTTAGCAGGAATCAGGAGCTGTTGTCTGCGTGTGAGGTCCACCTCCAATCTTTGGTCCGTTCCCACATCTTGGCTCCTAGCACAATAACATCCATTATACGGCACGTTTTCTTTCTCATATATTTTCATGGATATATTCATAGTGCCTTGTCCAATCAATGCAAGATTTCTACAGGACCAAAGGTTTGCTTCGTGTTTTCAAACACAAATGCCTCTTTGATGCTGTAAAAGGGCACCAAACAGCCCCCTATTTAAAAGAGCGGATAAGGAAGCAAGTTCGGGGCCTTTGCAATAAAGCATAAAATAAGTAATTATCCCCTCTTCAAAACGCTACACAGAATGATTGTGGTTTCTTGCTGTAACCAGCAAACCATTTTTTAAAAATATTGATTAGACTCTATCTGGAGATGTTTGTCATTGCCCATACACGCACTTTTAAAAGCCTTAAATATTTACGACTTGGAAAGCTTCGGTGGATTAAACCCCATTTCAAAAGATATTGTACCACCCTGTTTAATTTTTTTTTTCTCTCTCTCTCAGAACTCCTTCCCATTTTTGAAAATTGGGAACGACGACCCCAAGAAAGCTTTGGTTGGTGTGCTTTATGTCAATATTTACTATATTAAAAATTAAAATGGATGCAGTTGCCGCTGCTACTACAGTTCCTGAGGGTTGTTAGATGGGATTTTTAATATGGTATTTCTTTTCATCACAGGCTGGCAAATGACTTATGATTTCACAAAGCCCAGAGAGGGTCTTGGGGACATGCAGGGGTCTTCCCACGTTTTTTGAGAAACCCTGATACAAATGAGATTTTTAGCCAGAAAACAATTTCTGAGCGAGAAGTTCCTGGTGCTCTTCAGGGATGCTATGGGAGAGGGGCTCAAGGCACAGCAGTACAGTGGCCAAAAAGCCAGAATCCTATTATTAAAATGGCTGTTACAGGTAGTCCTTGACTTACAACCATGGATTTAGTGGCTGCTCAAAGTTACAACGGCACTGAAATAAGTGACTTAGGGTCTTTTTCACACACGGGACTGTTGCAGCATCCCCATGGTCACATGATCACAATTCAGATGCTTGGCAACGGACTCACATTTATGTCGGTTGCAGTGTCCTGGGGTCACGTGATTCCCCTTTAGCGACCGCCTGACAAGCAAAGTCAATGGGAGAATAAGATTCACTCAACCGTGTTGGTACTTTAATAACTGCAGCGATTCACCTTAACAAGCAGTCATAAAATGGGGCAAAACTCACTTAACAACCATCTTGCTTAGCAATGGAACTTTTGGGCTCCATTGTGAGTCACAACCAGAGGACTACCTCTACTGTGAAAGGTGGAATTCTGCATTTACCAAACGCCGCAGAGTTAAGCAGGATTCAGCACGGCATCGAACAAAAATAAACACTTATTTGTTTCTCAGCACTTTGGCTAAGATCAAGTGATCCCATTTTTTGCTGGACACTTATGTTGAACTGACAGATAGTACCAGAATTCTATGTATTAGCATAGAAAGCTTTCAGGCTGAGCATAGTGACTTTCCAGAAAAGGGACTTAATATTTTGGACCTGTATAAATGGAACACAAACTGCTTGGGGAAAAGTTGGTGTTGCAGTTTAGAATAAAAGAACAGTTGGAAGTCCCAAAGGTGGGTTTTATTTTGTTTTTTTCTTCAAGAGGCATTTGGACTTTCTGGTTTTTCACTAAGTGTTGTACCTTATGATTCTTGACGAATATATCTTGTCTTTTTATGTACACTGAGAGCTTATGCACCAAAGACAAATTTCTTATGTGTCCAATCACACTTGGCCAATAAAGAATTCTATTCTATTCTATTCCTATTCTATTCTATTCTGCATTTCCATTCCATTCCAATGTTCTGTTCTGTTCTACTCTATTCTATTGTAATATTCTATTCTATTCTATTCTATTCTATTCTATTCTATTCTATTCTATTCTATTCTGCATTTCCATTCCATTCCAATCCAATGTTCTGTTCTACTCTATTCTATTGTAATATTCTACTCTACTCTATTAATATTCTATTCTAATGTCATATAATATGAATCTATTCTATTCTCTGAAGACATTTTACTTCTCATCCGAGAAGCTTCTTCAGCTCTGACTGGATAAATCTTTCCATTCCCCACCATCATCCAGTCAGAGCTGAAGAAGCTTCTCGGATACATCTTCTTCAAAGAACCACCAGAAAAAGTCCAGTTGCCTCTTGAAGAAAAATAAATAAATAAATAAATAAATAAAGCACCTTTGGGGCAACCATGACCTGGAGGACTTGAGAATCTCCCTAGACAAGAGAGTTGGAAGGGACCCTGGAGGTCCTCTAGTCCAACCCCCCTCAAGCAGAAGACCCTATATCACCATTTCAGAAAAATGGTTGTCTATCCTCCATTCTAATTAATAGTTAATATATTAAGAGGAATTAGGAGCATTTGGGACCTTTTTCTTTTGTAGTCCCGTTTGATGCCGGCCAGGAGCTCCATTCCCCGTCCGCCTGCTTTATAAGGGGGGGGGGTCTAATTCCTGCACCCCCCCGACCTCTAACCCTCCTCTCCCGTCACCCTCCCCACGGCCACCCTGCCCGTGTCCACTCCGCAACTTCTTTCACAGGACCCCCGAAGGGCCCTCGGTCACCGGGACGCCATTCGTTCCCCTTAGCAACCGACCCCTAGCAACGGCGACCGCCTAGCAACGGCGCGACCCCCCCTCCCCCGCCGACGCCACACTGACCCCCCACACTTCAGCCTCGGGCAGCGCAGAAAAGCTCGGAGGGCGGGTCTTGTTGTCGTCGTTACCACCACCACCACCACCCCGACTCCTCTCAAATCGCTTGCCATTGGCCGGCGGCGGAGCCCCTCTTGCTCGCCATTGGCCGGAGCGTCCGGGAGCGCCCGTCGAAGGAAGCGCGCTCATTGGCTACTGCCGGCGTGGGTTCCTGGTTTTGAATCGCGCCGGGCGTCCTTTGCCACGTTGCCTCTCCGGCTTCATGGACACGCCCCCTGAGCCCTCCGGGAGGGGCGGGGCGGGGCGTTCGGGAGAGTCCGGAGACGCTCGGAGGAACTCGGGAGCGGCTTTAAAGGCAGCGCGCAGCCCGGCGCCCGCAGGGACGGTGAGCGGCGGCGGCGGCGGCGGCGCCGAGATGCTCACCGACAGCCTGGTGGAGGAGTTCGAGATCCGAGAGGATGAGCCGTGGTACGACCAGCAGGACCTGCAGCAAGGTGAGCGGCACTGGCGGACGGCTTCTTCTCCCTTGGACTACACTCCCCATTATCCCCAGCCGACGCAGCCTCTCCCCCCCCACCCCCCCCAAATATCTCTTTGGCTTGGTGGGGTTGGAACTCCGACGCTCTTATTATCATCCTCCCGCGTCTCCTCTCCTTGCTGAGTTCAAGCCCTGGACTACACTCCCCATTATCCCCAACCTCCCCTTCTAGCCAGTGTTCTCTTTGGGTGGGTGGGGGACGGACTCCAGCGCCTATTATCCTCCCCCTTCCCATCTCCTTGCTGAATTCAAGCCCTGGACTACACTCCCCATTATCCCCAACCTCCCCTTCTAGCCAGTGTTCTCTTTGGGTGGGTGGGGGACGGACGGACTCCAGCGCCTATTATCCTCCCCCTTCCCATCTCCTTGCTGAATTCAAGCCCTGGACTACACTCTCCCTTATCCCCAGCCAGCCCTTATCCTTTCCATCTTCTCTTCTTGCTGAGCTCAAGCCCTGGACTACACTCCCCATTATCCCCAACCTCCCCTTCTAGCCAATGTTCTCTTTGGGGGGTGGGGGATGGACTCCAGCGCCTATTATCCTCGCCTTCCCATCTCCTTGCTGAATTCAAGCCCTTGACTACACTCTCTCTTATCCCCAGCCGACATCCTTTCCATCTTCTCTTCTTGCTGAGTTCAAGCCTTGGACTACACTTTCCCTTATCCCCAGCTGATGCAGTTTTTAGCCAACATCCTTTCCATCTCCTTGCTGAGCTCAAGCCCTGGACTACACTCCCTATTATCCCCAACTAGCCCAACCCCACCTTCTAGCCAATATTCTCTTTGGGTGGAAGGACAAGGACTCCAGCACCTATTATCCTCCCCCTTCCCATCTCCTTGCTGAGTTCAAGCTCTAGACTACACTCCCTATTATCCCCAACCAGCCCAACCCCACCTTCTAGCCAATCTTCTGTTTAGCTTGGGGGGAGGAAGGACTCCAGCGCCTATTATCCTCCCCCTTCCCATCTCCTGTCCTCGCTGAGTTCAAGCCCTGGACTACACTCCCTATTATCCCCAACCGACACAGTCCCACCTTCTAGCTGGGTCCTCTGTGGCTGAGTGGGACGGGGACACCCGAGCTTATTATCCTCCCCCTTCCCATCTCTTCTCCTTGCTGAGCGCAAGTCCTGGACTCCGCTTCCTATTGTCCCCGACTAACCCAACCCCACCATCCTCTGTGGCAAGGGCTTGGAGGGTTTGGAACTCCAGTGCCTATTATCCTCCCCCTTCCCATTTCTCTCCTTGCGCTTGAAGTTCAAGCTTCAGACTACACTCCCCATTGTCCCCACCCAACGCAACTCTACCTTCTAGCCAACATCCTCTAGTCTTGGGGGGGTGGAGGAGGGAAGGGTGTAGAGTGGAGCTCCCAACACCTATTCTCCCTGTTATCTTGTGTGGGAAGGCTCCCCATCATCCCCAGCACGCTCCTCCAGCCAAGGGACCCCGCTCCCATCATCCCCTGGCTAATCCAGAGGGGAGGGTGTGAGTGTGGGGAGGATTCCAGCTGCAGAGAGTTCCCTGCCTCCTCTCTACTCCAGTCCCCATCCTCCCCAGCTGGATGGGTTGGGTAGCTGTAGCATGGGTCAAGGCTGGTAGGGGTCACCCCTTCGCCTCCTTAATTGAGTGGGGGTTTCTCGCCCCCTTCCATCCCTCCGTCCTTCCTTAGGACAATGGCTTTTTCTTTTTTAATTCTTCCTGCTCACCTGTGCGGGCAGCCTCCCCTCCCTCCTTCCCTCCCTCGTCTTTTGTTGTTTTAATTCTTACCCACCTCCCTCCCTTTCTGCTGAAAGGAATTCCATCATCCCCAGCCAGAGTCTTCCTTTCTTCCTTCCATCATCCTTCCCCGTTTCCTTCTTCTTTCTCACCTTCCTTTCTTCCCTTCGTCAGTCACCCTTCTCCCCTTCTTTCTCTCCTTCCTTTCTTCCTTTCTTCTATCAATCGTCTCCTTCCTTCTTCCTTCTCACTTCCTTTCTTCCCTCTCACCCTTCTCCCCTTCCTTTCTTTCTTCCCTCTATCAGTCACCCTTCTCCTTCCTTCTTCTTTCTCACCTTCCTTTCTTCCCTCGGTCACCCTTCTCTCCTTCCTTTCTTCCCTCTGTCAGTCACCCTTCTCCCCTTCCTTCCTTTCTTCTATCACCCTTCTTCCTTCCTTCCTCCCCACCTTCCTTTCTTCCCTCCGTCACCCTTCTCCCCTTCCTTTCTTTCTTCCCTCTGTCAGTCACCCTTCTCCTTCCTTCTTCTTTCTCACCTTCCTTTCTTCCCTCGGTCACCCTTCTTCCCTTCCTTCCTTCCTTTCTTCTATCACCCTTCTCCTTCCTTCTTCCTCCCCACCTTCCTTTCTTCCCTCCGTCCCCCTTCTCTCTTCCTGTCTTTCTTTCTTCCTTCCTTCCACATCTGTCCTGCCCTGCTTTGTTCCTCCACCCCCATCCCCTGCTGTATTATTCCCACCAGAATAACGCTCCAAGGGGAACCAAATGGCACCCCCGCCTTATAAAAAGGCATTTCACCACGCATAAAGGGGGAAATGCGAACCTTGAAAGAGTCAAAAGGAGAATGGCAGGGAGGGGCCCCGAAAGCAAGAGAGGCGGGGGGGGGGAGGACAATGAATAGAGGAGGGGCCTAGCTGGGAAGCCCCTTTAAGAAGAAATGATGGATGTGAACTTGGGTGGAGAACGAGGGAGTGGGAAGGGAGGCTGGGGAAGAATAGGAAGCGCTCAGGAAAAGAAACGAGGCTTTAGAAAGCATCAATAAATGTGGGCAAAAGACGCTAGACCTCAACAACTTTACAAACGTGTGGACTTCAACTCCCAGAATTCCCCAGCCAGCCAGCCTGCTGGCTGAGGAATTCTGGGAATTAAATTCCAACCCTCTTAAAAAGTTGCTGAGGTTGAAAAAACACTGCCCTTGAAGACAACGTTCTTCGAAAGCCTAAGGAAAGACTTTTAAATGCAATTAAAGATGGCTAAGCCTGATTCCTTGCTGTGTTTAATTTGGAAACTAAATCCTTGGGTTCAACCAGAGTACTTACTCCTTGCTTCGGAGTAATAGAGCTAAACCCTCCAAAAAGCAATTTCCAAAAGAAAAGGTTAGGCTTCTGGGAAAACTGCAGATCAATGAACTTTTAACTTTTTGGGGATATTCCCACAGTTTAGCACAGATACGCAAAGAGAATTTGACTTTAGGGCGAGTCTAGATTCCGAATCTAGGTTGATTACAAATAAGCAATGCAAAAATAAATAAATAAAAATAAATAAAGATGCCTTATTACTGGACTTTCTTGGGGTTTTTTTCCCCCTTGAAAACGTTTCGCTTCTCATCCAAGAAGCTTCTTCATTTCTGTTCTTCAACCATGACCTGGATGATTGAGAATCTCCATAGACATGTCTTACTACTGTTTTTAAATTTGCAATGAGGGTTATCTGATGTTCCATAGGATTGGAGTGGGGGTGGATTTTCTCTAGAATTTAGACCTTTCCAAATGACTTTGTTTGGATGTGCCCATAAAATTGCCAAGGTCCTCCGATGGTGCGTACAGTGTAGACGGGATTTGGGTGCGAAGTCCAGAGACACGTTTTGTGCAGATAAAGAAAATAAAGTGATTTTATTACGATACTGGTACCTCTGCTCTGTATTTAGTTCCGTTTAAAGTCCAACAAAAATTACATTTTTGCCTTTCTGTATTTAGCAGGTGTCTGTCTACTTTTGGATGTTGGAAAAAAATATTGAAATGTTTTGGAAGGGAAATATTCTGTACCTGTCTTTCAAAGGTGTAAAGCTGATCTGGAAAACCTCTCTCCGTCACTTTTAGCATTTCTAAAAGCCTGCCGTTTAAAAAGGCATAGCTTTAATTTGAGATCATACATTGTTTTATGAAATGCTGTACGCAAAGGACTTTCTTCAAACGGGGCTCAAACTTTTCGCTTTTCCTGACTCTCTTGATCGATGATGCAATATCCGAGACATATATTCATTTAATCCAAGATTCTTATTCTCCAAATTGTTGTACGGTACCGGGTTTTTAAATTATGAATCACAAGCCCTGCTTTCTTGGAAAAAATCTTTGCATCTTTGGATGCAATGAAAATGTAGCTGTTGTCACATACTGTCATTTCAAGTCAGGTTTAGGTCAGTTTCAAAGCGTGAAAAAGGCATCTTTTTTTTTTTAAAAAAAAAGAAAAATTCATCATAAATCATTTGGACTATTGTTGTTGCTTAAAATGGCAGGTTAGAAATATTGCATCGGTTTCAACATCTAAATTGCATACTCAATTACAAGATTATATTACCTGAGAGCTAGAAATTTATCAATCATGCACACTGTTTCCTTCACAACAATCAACATTGCAAACCTATTTTCTTTTATTGTACTCTGAACTTTCGCCTAATTGTTCCAGGCTGTTCATGTCATTTAATATTGGACTGTGGCATTTATGATTAATTTTCCAGACATGGTGGCAGGCCATATTCTAATATTATGGCTTTACAAGATATCTCAGACTGATTATTTCTCGTGCGGTACAGGTAATCCTCGACTTACAACAGTTCATTTAGTGACCAAAGTTGCAACAGCAGTGAAAAAAATGACTTATGGCTAAGTTTCACACTTACGACCGTTGCAGCATCCCCATGGTTACAAAATCAAAATTCAGACGCCTGGCAACTGACTCATATTTATGACTGTTGCAGTATCCTGGTGTGTGTGCTATGTGTGTGCTCCCTTTTGCGGCCTTCTGACAAGCAAAGTCAAAGGGGAAGCCAGATTCACTTAACGGCGTGTCGCTCGCTTAGCAACGGTGGCAAGGAAGGTCGTAAAATCATGCAAAATTCTCTCAACAAACGTCTCGCTTTACCACAGAAATTTTAGGCCCAATTGTAGTTGGAAGTCAAGGACTGTCGGTAGGGAAAGAAGGAAGGCAGTTGAATTTCTGAATGTCTTTTAAATTTCAGAATTTCTTGCTTCAAGCTTTCCGACCTCCAAGCTGCAGAAATCGTACGATAATGAGAAGATGAATTCCTTTGCTAGTTATCCACTCAAGATTACCGTATAATTTTGCTGAGTACCTTCAATTGAACTTCAATTCGCCTTAAAATTGATAGGTTCTGGTAAAATTACTAAGACGTGCAGCTAATTTAGCTTCAGTATTCTCCGTAGGAAATGTTTCATCTGAAATACCTAGGACTTTAGCACAAGCGATGTGTTGGAAGAGAGATACACAACTTCGGTCTGTAGTATATTTTGGAGTACGCAGGTGGATTGTTTTTTGTAGTAGTAAAAAATGGACTTAAGGGATTTTTCCATGGCTTTGCAATGAATGATCAAAGATTCTATCAAAGCATCACTGGAATTGGAAAAGTAGCTATGAAATGATGCGTAATGTTGAAGTAAACCTGGGAAAATAGATTTCTGGCTACCAGGTGTATCTGCGTAGTACGGAGCTCTTGACTCCCATAGTAAATTTAGAAGTTGAATACATCTGGAGGAGAATCACGTTGGGGAAAAGGATCTCTCATCAAATACAGTTCTCAACTTATGGCCAGAATTGCCATCGCTAAGCAAGGCATTATTAAATGAATTGCACCCAATTTTACAATCGTTTTTTGGCCACGGTTGCTAAGCGAATCTCTACAATTCACTGAATCCTGCAGCCGTTAAGTAAATTGGGCTTCTCTCTTTGACTTTGCTTGTGGGAAGTCGATGTGAAGATCACAACGGGATTGCATGATCCTGGGACATTGCAAACACATGCCTGTTCATGAGCACCCAAATGTTAATTGCGTGACCATGGGGATGCTGTTCAGTGGTGAAATCCAATTTTTTTTTTACTACCGGTTCTGTGGGCGTGGCTTGGTGGACATGGCAGGGGAAGGATACTGCAAAATCTCCATTCCCACCCCACTCCAGGGGAAGGATACTGCAAAATCCCCATTCCCACCCCACTCGAGGGCCAGCCAGAGGTGGTATTTGCCGGTTCTCCGAACTACTCAAAATTTCCGCTACCGGTTCTTTGAACTGCTCAAAATTTCCACTACCGGTTCTCCAGAACCTCTCAGAACCTGCTGGATTTCACCCCTGATGCTGTCACATGTGTGAGGACACACTTTTTTCACTGCCCCTGCCCTGTAACGCTGAACGGTTGCTAAACGAATTGTTGTAATTTGAAGACTGCCTGTCCTTACTTTGATAATTTGATGGGGGGGAAAATATAGCTTATGAACTTTGAATGTTGCTCGAGACCGATCATAGAATATAATAATAGCGTGGAAGTTATTGGGTACGCCAGCAATGATCTTTGAACTATTAAGCCTGGGCACCTGTGTTCCTGACAATTCTGCCGATTGTTAGAAAAGATTACAACCTAAATTCTGGCTCGAACGTTTGGCAAAAAAGCATCCGTGATTGTTTTACGGTACTTCTGAGATCAAGCTTGTAGTCACCGAAGAAGAGAAATTGTCCTTTGAGGTCTCTGACATTTTATGAAGCCCAAATATGTTTCCAAGAATTTTTACACCAATAAGTGCGATAGAAAAATTACAACGCATCAGGGTGTTTCAAGGTTTGATGTTTCTTGTTTCGTTTCCAGTCAACATATATATTTTTTTTATTTATTTTTTTTAAATTTGATTTATATGCCGCCCTTCTCCGGAGACTCAGGGCGGCTTACAATGCATTAAGCAATAGCCTTCATACTTTTGTATATTTATATAAAGTCAGCTTATTGCCCCCACAAACTGGGTCCTCAATTTACCTACCTTAGAAAGGATGGAAGGCTGAGTCAACCTTGAGCCTGGTGAGATTCGAACTTACAGTAATTGCAGACAGCTGGTGTTAATCACAATGCTATCAGTCTGCTGAGCCACCAGGCCCTTTTCCCCCTATTTCAAGTTGTCAAAGTTGTAGCAGTTTTTGTAGCGTCAGTGAGCTTCTTTCCAAAACATTTAACTTGCAAAAAATTTTAGGTGTAAAAGTTTGACCAAAACAGAGCAAATGGAGATCTTAAAATTAAACACAAAGATGTGTTGAGGTGTTTAGTTTCCCGCAAGAGATTGTCATTCTGTTGTGCTAATTGTCAACATGACAACCTTTTGAATGAATTTCGGTCAGCCGGTCAGCCGAAATATTGCTAACAGCAAAAGTTCTTTTGCATGTTATACAGGTAATGGGAAAAGATTTTAAGGTCCTTAAGTCTTAGCACCCTTTTTTTTTTTTTTTTGCAATCTGCCAATTCTTTGCGTGATGAAACTTGTACCAACTTAATACTAGCAAAGTTGGCCTGTTTAAAAATAACTTGCATTCCCTGGGACCAAGCCAGCGTTTTAACACCAAACATTTTAGGCAAGGAACAAAAGCACTGTTTTGAAACCGTGTGTTATGAGGGCCACGCAGTAAAAATGTTATCTTGTTCGTTTCCTTCTTTTGTGGCTGTCAATTCTATGTCGTTGTAGTTTGGTTAATTGAATACAAAAAATAAAATAAAATAAATAAAATGGGTGAAAAATAGAATTATCTGATGCATCTGTTTTCAAACTCTTATCCTGAAAGGACTTCACTAACTCTGCACCTTTTCACATTTCAGTGAGATGCTGAAGGGCAAAATAAGAAGCATAGATTAAGCTTTAGATAATAAATTCTGTTCTAAAGAATTCTATTCTATTGTAAAGCAACTTTGATAACTATTACCCCCCCCCCAAAAAAAAACCACTATGGAGATTCTAAAATGTGCCATTAATCTCCACGAATGAAGCAAACCTTTATTCCTTTAGAAATTATACCGTACTTGACTGTAATGCCTAGACGCTATCTTAAAATAAGGTGGTGCAATTAGATTAAAGTCATACCCACGATTTGTCGTAGATCTTCATCTGGCTGCTGAACTGGGAAAGACCCTTTTGGACCGAAACACGGAATTGGAGTCCTCTCTGCAGCAGATGTATTCCAATAACCAGGAGCAACTGCAGGAAATAGAGGTGACTGAAGACTGCCCTATAAAATTGAATTATGTACCCCTTCAACTCTGCATGTTTGCTGTTACGATGTAGACGCAGGGGTGGGCTGGTGGGGATTTGCAGGGGTTCTGAAGTACCTCTAGCTAAGATTCTGTGCGGTTCGGAGAACCCCCAAATCCCACTCCTGACTGGCCCAGCCCACCCCGCGCCTCCCAGGAGTATACACAGTATACCCATACAACGAAATTCACATTAGCATGAATGATGGCCTTACAACGTCTTCCCATGGAGTGAACCAAGTCTTTTAGTTCTGCAGCTATTCTAATGTGAAACCAAGATTGAATGATGGCTTCTATTAACTGGGTTTTATTGCTGGGTCACTTCTGACTAACCATTTTCTTTAGTCGGCTCCATAGATTTTCAATTGGGTTGAGGTCTGGGCTATTCCCAGGCCATTCCAGCAGTGGAATAGGATTACATTGAAATTTCAAAAAGAAAAGTGGTGTTATTAGCCATCAAACCTCAAAAATACGCTTTTCCCAAAAGGTTTCGACAATTTTGGCCACTATTGTATGGTTGTATAATTGGTCAGCTAAAGTTGAATTTCAGCCATGACTAAATATTGTCCGTCCTAGATTTAGGAAGTGACTTTCACTGTAGCTTCAAACAATCTGATTTCTTAAGTGATTTACAGGCAGCAGAAAAAGGGAGGACAAATAACATTTGAAACACTTCCAAAACTCTTTGATGGATGCCTCAACAATTCGTTCATTTTTGTTCCAGTCCTTTTATTTTTCGTTTCAGCATGCCATTTTCCCAGAACATATCCACGACTCCTAAAATTGAGTGGTGAGGAGGTGGAGCTTTCGCCTCACAATCAGTAGGCTGTGAGTTCGATCCTAGGTAGAAGCAGATTATTTCTCTCTCTCTCGGGACACACTGAGAATATATCTGCTGAAAAGTACTCCGCATTGGCGACAGGAAGGGCATTTGGCCAGCTCCATTCAGTTGCCCAGACTTCATCCCGCAAGGGATTATGGGGTCGTTAAAAGAGGATGATGATGTCCCGAGTCCTAACATTAAGACAACGCTCCGTGTTTGAAATGACGAAAGTCACTGCGGAGAAGCTGGTTTAATAACTGTAATTTTGTTTTCGTTCTGCAGTATCTTACCAAGCAGGTGGATCTTCTACGTCAAATGAACGATCAGCACGCCAAAGTCTACGAGCAACTGGACGTCACGGCGAGAGAACTAGAAGATACTAATCAAAAACTGGTTGCCGACAGTAGGGCCTCCCAGCAAAAGATAGGAAGGTAATTAAGTTGGCTGCTGGCAGGATAAATTTCCCCTTATCTGCCAGGTTATTATAAATCGATTCGTCACGGACCTTGTCCGATTCTATCAGAGGATTATCTAAGCAGGACCTTTGAGTGGTGGAATGGATTGTAGGCTGGCATGCTTCTTCCTCCTCCTCCTCCCCCCGCTCCTTTTCTCCACCCCATCCCACTCCTGAAAATCTGGGGGAGTCCGGAGGCCCTTTTTCTGAGTAAGAAATGGTGTTAGGAGGCCTAAGTTTTTCGTGAGCTGCGGCAACTTCATCCGATGCAGGATGAAAAACGAATCCGATAGCAGTGCCGTGATGAGTTTATCAGATCCATCAACTGCAGATTGCAAAAGGTTCCGTGTTTTATAAATTTTGCAACACTGAGGGTACTTTTCAACTTAACAGCCATTCGATCAAAGTCACAAGGGCACTGAAAATGACCGATAAAAAGAATTCTATTCTATTTTTAAAAAAGGCTGTTTTATGGCTGTTTTTCACTCTTACGACCTTTGCAGGATCCTTGCGGTCACGTGATTCAAAACCCACGCGCTTCGCAACTGGCATGCGTGCCCGGCGGTTGCAGTGTCTTTGGATCACGTGATCGCCATTTGCGACCTTCCCAGGGATCGGAACAACGTCAATGAGGAAAGGTGGATTACATTAATGAACATGTGATTCACTTAACTGCACCAATTCATTCAACGACAATGGCCAAAAAAAAGAAGAAGAAAATTGGCCGCAATGCACTTAACACAACTGCTTCACTTAGCAGCAGAAATTCTGGTTTCCATTGTGGTCATATGTCAAGGACTGCCTGTAGTTCAGAAAAGGGGCTAGCAGAGCAGTGTTGCTTTTTACTCATACCCAATCTGCTCCCAAAAGTTCATTAAAATTAAGGAGAAATGTCTGTACCATGCTTACTTTGGCGCTAATTCTTCTGAATCTTCCAATCTGGAACCTGATTTTTTTATTTTTTTTAAAAAAGACTGTCTTTCTCTTGAACATGGAGATGTGATGTTCACAGGACCCCTTTTGTTAGCTGGTAGCTGTGGGAGAAGGAGGTCTAAGTCAGGAGAATATCAAACTATACTTTTGAGAGGTCCAAGTCAGAAGAACATCAAACCGTGCTTTGAGAGGTCCAAGTCAGGGGAACATCAAACTGTACTTTCAGGGGTCCAAGTCGGAGAACATCAAACTGTACTTTCAGGGGTCCAAGTCAGGAGAACATCAAACTGTACTTTCAGGGGTCCAAGTCAGGAGAACATCAAACTGTACTTTCAGGGGTCCAAGTCAGGAGAACATCAAACTGTACTTTCAGCGGTCCAAGTCAGGAGAACATCAAACTGTACTTTCAGGGGTCCAAGTCAGGGGAACATCAAACTGTACTTTCAGGGGTCCAAGTCAGGGGAACATCAAACTGTACTTTCAGGGGTCCAAGTCAGGAGAACATCAAACTGTACTTTCAGGGGTCCAAGTCAGGAGAACATCAAACTGTACTTTCAGGGGTCCAAGTCAGGAGGAACATCAAACTGTACTTTCAGGGATCCAAGTCAGGAGAACATCAAACTGTACTTCGAGCAGGTGCAATCTTCTCAGATACCTGAAGGAGTTTGACAGCTCTATCCATGTTGGTTCATGTGCTTTCTAAACTTTCCTTTTAGTCTCACGGAGACCATTGAGAATCTCCAGACTCACATCGATGAACTGCAGAGGCAGGTGGAAGAGTTGAAGACCTCTGGGCAAAGCCACGTAAATTACGAAAGACCCGAGCAGCCCAAATCGGTCCAGAGTTTTCCATGCCTGAAAGAACTGTACGATCTCCGCAAGTAAGTAGCAAACTCACCAAGTCACAATGTGGAAGACGCTGAAAAATTAGTACGGATCGCATGCCACGTTCCCGCCAAAAATTCCCAATGGTTTATTTTCATATAAGGAGGACGCCATAGCGTGTTTTGATTGAAAATTGATGTTTAGAACTGAAAATGATGTCATGGCGATACCAGTCGCAAGGGAACAGAGCTCTTTGTCCCTGTGCTGGCTTCTCCCTGTGCCAAAACCGCCTTGGAGGGGTGGCGAAGCTAAGGAGGGGCGTCCTGTGAGGTTGTAGGTGAGAGCGCAACTCTCCTGCAGAACTCCAGGACTTTTTCTTCCCTCTATGCCACGGCGAGGAGAAGAGGCAGCCTAAGATGGCTGCCACAGAGCCAGAGACAGCTTAACATCTAAGAAGAGTGCTGGAGCGGATTTGGTGAACAGTGTTTGGAACTGGGTGAAAATTGATATTTAAAATGCTTAACTAATATTCCAGGTTTAAATAAATGCACCCAAGTCTTTTACTTTGGGGTGATTTCTTCCCGATGTGATGTATCCATGCAATTGATGGTTTCATATGCGATGGGAATGAGATTTATCGGGCAAAACACGCTAAGCATTTTCCTTCTCTCTTTCTGTGCTACACCTAGGTATTTTGTCTATGATCATATATTTGCAGAAAAGATTATATCAATGGATAGTCAACTAAGTCCCGTAGAAGAGGAAAACCAGAATTTGAAGAAGGCCATAACTCTCTTGCAAACTCAGCTCAATGTGGAGAAAGAAAAGAGATTGTCTATGGAGGAAGAGTACAGTTTTCTGCTGAAGGAAAACACAGATCTGGAGCAACAGCTGGTGGACATCCATCTGTACCAGGCGAGAGCCGAGGAACTGGAGACAGAAGTGGCTGAAATGAAGCAGCTCTTTAATTCTGGAAGCCCCTGTCTGAATAGAATGGAGCAACTTCCCCCCGAATCTTTTTTCATTTCTCTCAAAGACCCCTTAGAAAAAGAACTCAGCCACGGTCCTTGGGACGGGATGTCCTTCATCCTTCCTGAACTTGAGAAGAGGTCCCTCAAAAGAAGCACCAGCGAGAGCTTGCTCAGCAGTGGGGCGGGCGAGGACCTCTTCAAAGGCCACGAAGAGACCTGCATCAGGAGGGCGGAAGCCGTCAAGCAACGGGGCGTCTCTCTACTCAACGAGGTTGACGCCCAATACAACGCCTTGAAGGTCAAGTACGAAGAACTTCTGCAGAAGTGTCAAACGGACAAAGAATTGCTGGACCACAAGGCCGTGCAGACCTCAAAACAGCGTCCCAAAGATGTCCGTGGTGGGTGCATACCCCTGGAGGGGGGTCTTAGGGAGCCCCGTTCCCCGACTGCTGATTCAGCCAACTTCTCTTCCAACGCTTCTCCTGAATATAAACTTCTCTTCAAGGAGATCTTTAGTCGTATCGAAGAAACTAAAAAGGAAATTGATGAACATCGGGCAAAATATAAGTCTTTCTCTTCTCAATGTCCTTAAAAAAGTATGGCGGGGATCAAAAATAATAATATATTTTTTTTCATGATGTTATCCTTTTAATGTTTCTTAGGGAACAAAAGATGTACGTTTGGCTCAGGATTGGCAGATTTTCTGTAAAATGGGTTGGATCCATTTGGTTAGTTCTACCGAGTTGGAATCTGGTTGATTCCGTCTCGCCCTGAACCAAGTTCTCTCTGGAGGGCGAAATCTTTGACAACCAGTTCGCAAATTAATTTTATTATGCAACTCCAAATTAACAATTCTAGTTCTGCTGGAAAAAAACCTGACGCGTTATAGAAATGAAAACCACAGAGTTATTACGCACAATAACAATTCTTCTGAACTTAAGACACTACCTGGGATTGAAAACCAAAATATAGATTTTTGGTAGTGTGCCATTGTCATGTACAACTGCAAGCAAACAGTTAAAACATTGTGCACTCTGACATTCCTTAAGTGAGGGAATTTTACAGATCTGTCACTTATTTGATATGCTGGGATGCCATTGTCTTATTTTAAAATCCAGCGTGGCCTCTCATTTAAACAAACAAAAAAATGAATTCAAGGATTGGAATATAATATATATATATTGGAGAGTATAATTTGGCTGATAAAACTCCTGGTGCGTCAACCTTCCGCTGCATTAGAAGACTGAATATTACAAAACAGCCTCCATATAAAAGGTAAACTGATTAGCATAGAGCAAAATAAAAAACAAGAGAGTCCCCTATTTCACTTTAACTTAAATCCTTCCAGCGTGTTTTCAAGGATTTGATATTCTGGAAATGGTCTACCACACAGCCAACTTGAGGCTAAATTGGGAAGGATTTAGAGCAGCTTAAGCCACAAAGTCCCTATGATCACACCAGCAAATACGCTGTATGTAGAACGGGCCAAATATTTAATATATGCTGTGATCATATTCCATCCTTTCCTGCAGAAACTCGCATCTGTTGCAAAGTCCAATAACTCTGTAGTTTTAGAGCAAGCATTTTACTATTTTTTGTCGGAAGAAACGCTTGGGAACAGAAGTGGAGAATTTAAAGTCCCTTCCCTTTAGTTCCACGTTTTTAAGAAAAATTCAATAGGTCAGTTGCCAACCAGTGTCACAAAAGGGGACTTGTTATTTTTTTTTTCCAAAGAAAAGGGATCTGTTTCATATTGCATTCCTAATTTAAAAAGAACAACTTGAGCTGCCTGCAAGAAGAAGAAAAAAAACAACACAATTGCAGTTTTAAAACTCTTGCCTGCTGTTACAAATTCACCTGCCTTATCTACTGAGGGTGGCTTGTTCTCCTTCTATTACGAGATTCCAGGTGGAAACTCAACTCTGCCACATGGTGTATTTCCACTTACTACCAGTTTGTTTGGTCTTATTGGGTGTTTTGCAATTAAGGGCAAATAAATCCTTTCTACAATGAAGTTTGTGCTGGTTTCTGGTGGGTACATTTTTTAAAAAAAAATATTCAACATTTTTCACCTTTAAAATCACACTTTTACAGCTTTCCGTAATCGGAATTTTTTCTTAATTCCAATTTATTGTGCTTATTGTGTACATGTATATTCTTATTTCATAAGTACTTATTTATATAATATATACAATATATACATATCTACTACACACTAAATATATATTTTTTCATTATATTATCTTCTCTTAACATTCACTATGCATTAATTTTAGACTTCTTTTCCAGCCAGTTAGATCACCTATTCCATGTCTCATAGTATACCGTTTCTTCTCTGTCTCTTAATTCCATCGTTAATTTGTCCATTTCTGCGTATTCTAGCACCATTTTTATAATCATTGTGTTTGATGGAGTGTGTTGTTTCCAATTTTGGGCAAATGTAATACTGGCTGCGGTGATTATATGGAGCATGAGATACTGAATTTCTTTATTCATCTTTCCTTTTATAATACCCAAAAGAAACAGCTCTGGTTTCATATCGATTTTTAGTTCAATAATTTCCTCCAACCACTTTTTAATTTTTAACCAATACACTCCTGGCTTTGGGACATGTCCGCCACATGTGGTAGTATGTCCCTTGTTGGTGGTTGCATTTCCAACAATTTGTTGAGCTATTAGGAAACATCTTGGCCAATCTCGCCGGGAGTAAATGCCATCTATAAAACTGGTCGGTGCATTTTATGCGCTTCCGACTCAACCAAAGGAAGGGTGCAGAAGGGTGTAATAATGTTTATGACTACAGATGTGTATTAAAGTATTCTGCATTCACAACTCCTGCTGAAGGAGGTGATGGTGCATCGCTTATTTTTCCTGGGTTGGGAAGTCCTGTTCACGGTTCCACCTTTGTCCTTACTCACTTGGACTTCTGCAGTGTCCTTCATGTGCCGCTCCTCGTTTAGTACATCTGGAAGTTGCAGTTGACACACCCAGAACAGAGAGGTCCAAGTAGTTATGGATGCTGGTTGAATGAACCCATGGAAGACTAGTTGACTTCTGATGCCCACTGTCTTCTTGAAGGTCCTTCATGGTTTGGGACCACCTCAGCCCATCTGATAAAATTCAAGGGTGACCTTTGGGCTTCTTGAAGTCACGGCATCAATGGGATTTTGGAAGCAGATCTTTTATTGTGGTTTGCCTTCCTTGAAATAAGATGCCCCTGGAAATTTGAATGTCCTCCATACTTAGCATCATCACCATCCTCTTTTAAATAATTCCTGGTGGGGTGGAGTCTGGGCAACTGAATGGAGCAGTGTTTACTGGCCGGATGCCCTTCCTGTCCCCAGTGCAGAGGGTTTTTTCCCAGCAGATATATTCTCGTTGTGCCGAGAGAGAGAGAAATATCTGCCTCTACCTAGGATCGAACTCACAGCCTCCCGATTGTGAGGCAAGCTAGGCCATCGCACCACTCCATACGTACGCTGTTCCATAAAGCTATTAAATCTTGGCTGTTTCGGTAGATCTTTGGAGTTGAAAGATGGGACAGTGTCTCTGGGAGAGGGGAAGTTGTTAAGCGATTTCCCAGGGTTGTGTGTTTGTTCTTGATGAATTATGGCGACTGTGAACGCTTTCACACATTCTAAAGTTACCAAACTGAGACATGTGATTTATGCCCTTGATTGCCACACGCTGTAAATCAAATTTAAAAACTAGAGCGCTGTTTTGGTTTTAAAGCTGGCGTCCTAAAGGAAGGGCAGGAGCTGATTTACATATATGCCTACATAACACAAATTAATGTCTCCTTTTGCAAATGGCTCACCTATGGCCGCCTTCTAGTTTGAAAATAAAGAGGATCACGTTGCAAAAAGACGGTTTAAAAGTTCTTTTTAAAAGACTTCTATACAGGTAGTCCTTGATTTACGACCATTCATTTAGAGACTGTTCGAAGTTAGGACTTGGACAAAGTTCTGGCCCCTAGGCCACTAATGGCGAACATTTTCGGCACCGAGTGCCCAAACTGGAATGCACGTATATGTGTGCGCGCCAAAGTGCCGGAAACCCAAAAACCAGCTGGCTGGCGCACGCATGCCTGGTTTTTGGCCATTTTTTTGACTGTTTTTAGGCAGTTTTCCAGGTTTGATTTTTTGGCCTGTTTCTGGTGCTCCGGTGCCTGCAAAGTCCAGTTGGCTGATGCGCGTGTGCATGCCAGAAACCAGAACAGCTGGTGATGGCACGTGTACCCAGAGAGTATTCTGCGTGCCATCTCTGGCATGCATGCCATAGGTTCGCCATCATAACTCTAGGCCCTGTGCAGTCACATAACTACAATTTGGGCCATTTCCAACAAACAAATGTCCCATAGCAAACAGTGGGTTCGATTAACTAGGTTAACTACAGTTTGTTTAACCACCATTGCAAAAAAAAGGCCATGACGTCACCTGCCTAATGACGGTCGCAACTTACGGCCATAATTGCGGGCTCAATTATGGTCATAAATGGAGGTTTACCTATAGTTTCCATCGTCTTCAGAATACACGGCACTAATCTTCCATTTCAACTCGCGAAACAGGTTATAAGGGGGTGTCTGATTACTTGTTTCCTGATATGCCAATATTTTCACTCCCTACGCCAGCTTCTCTGAAGTATCATTTTGCCCGACCTGTGCAAAGCCAAGAATTCCACCTGCTTCATTACAGAATAAAAACGGGGGGAAAAATATATGAGTGGGTTTAGCTGCAACGGAGATCTGTATTGTTAAATCTGAACAAAGCCAGCTTTCAAAAGGAAACAGGATAGTTTAAAACGAGTTAGCAGTTTTGGTCTGGATCCGGCAGTTTGATGTCACTCACAACCGAGCCCCAATCTATGCCATGCCGTCCGAGAGGTGCCCACAGTTACACAAAGAAACCTCAAGAGGCCGGGCAGTGCAGCGATGAGAAAAAGAGACCGCAACGCGTAAAGATAAAAATCCGGATCTCCTCCTGCAAACTCGAAATTTATTGGCATTCATTATAAAATGAACCGTCAGATCATGATTTCGTAACAGTTCAGCCACCGTATTAAGGATTGTTCATTTCGTGGTTCCTTCTAAGTAAGATTGAGAAATATAGATATATTAGGGATCCAAATTAAGCTAGGGGGACATACAGATTCCCCTGTCCATTCAAGATTAGTGGTTTGGACGTCGTTGCAAATAGCTAGTACAGCTGGTAGATCTTCCATCTGGGAGAGCTGTTTTTTTTCCTTTCCTATTCTATCCTTCTGCATTCTCTTTGTCCATCCTGGGATGAAACCAGATGCAACTGAGGCGAGTCCCATCGTCAAGAGGTGGGCTGCTGGACTGTCCCTTTGAGGTACCACATGCCTCCTTGGCTTACACAACAATCCTGCAGGAAAAGGAAGAAGCTTGATCAGAGGTATAGAATAGAATAGAACAGAATTCTTTATTGGCTAAGTGGGATTGGACACATAAGAAATTTGTCTTTGGTGCAGATGCTCTCATAACAACATAAAAAGACAAGATACATTCGTCAAGAATCATAAGGTGCAACACTTAATGATAGTCATAGGGAACTATGATCTCCGTGCTTTCCGCCGTGCCCTCAAAACCCTGATATTCCAACAAGTGGGGCTAAACATATGAACATGTGAATGTTTTTAAAATGTTATCTAACTTTAGGTTCTATTTAATTGGGCCAAACTATGTTATAATAATAATTTTAATTAGCAATTTTATGATGTTTGTGTATCTATATTTTTCTTGACTGTACACCGCCTTGAGTCCTATGGGAGAAAGGCGGTATAGAAATATAAATAAATAAATAAATAAACAAACAAACAAATAAACAATTGAATCATATTAGGAAATAGTCAATATAAATCATAAGGATACCAACAACGTTACAGTCATACAGCCATAAGTGGGAGGAGATGGGTGATAGGAACGATGAGAAGATTAATAGTAGTGCAGACTTAGTAAATTATTTGACAGTGTTGAGGGAATTATTTGTTTAGCAGAGTGATGGCATTCGGGAAAAAACTGTCCTTGTATCTAGTTGTTCTGGTGTGCAGTGCTCTATAGCGTCATTTTGAGGGTAGGAGTTGAAACAGTTTACGTCCAGGATGCGAGGGGTCTGTAAATATTTTCACAGCCCTCTTTTTGACTGGTGCAGTATACAGATCCTCAATGGAAGGCAGGTTGGTAGTAATTGTTTTTTGGTTTGGTTGCAATCAACCAAGCTTACCCTGAATTGCATTCTGCAGCAACTGAAGCCACGGGTGATGAAAACAGAGAGTTGAACCCAGGTAACATTCATGTTTTTTTTCAAAAAACCTCCCACAAATTATACAACCCACAACCTTGAAGGCAGGTAGGTCCTGGTTGAAGGATGCTTCCAAAAAACAGCCACGATTAAGAACTGATCTGGTTCTAATAGGTTGGCTAGGGAATTCTGGGAGTTGAAGTCCGGATGCAGGGGTGGGCTTCAAAAATTGGTCGGCCTCCTGCACCACAGCGGGGGGGGGGGGGGGGGGGGCATTTTTACCCTCCCTGGGCTCCCTAGGCTTTCCTCGGAACTTCCAGGAGGCCCGTTTTTCGCCCTCCCCAGGCTCTGGAGGCTTTCCTCGAGCCTCTGGGAGGGCGAAAATAGCCTCCTCTGGGCTCTAGAGGCTCCCTGGAGGCCCATTTTCGGCCTTCCAAAGCCTACGGGAGGCCCATTTTTCACCCTCCATGAGCCTCTGTACAGGCCCTACACTTACCTGGCATCCTAAATAGGCCGTGTGGAGACTCCTGGGAGGGGCGGAGTGGGAGGGGAGGGGCCAGCCAGGAGTGGGATTTGAGGGTTCGCCGAACTGCACAGAATCTTCGCCAGAGGATCGCCCGAACCCGGGCAAACCCGAAGCAACCCACCACTGTCCATATGTGTTAAAAATGGCCAAAGTCACTGATCTGGGGTCATTACAAAATCCAGAACCACCACCAGCTTCCAAGTAGAGAAGATTAATAAACCTGTGGACTTATTTAGCAGTTATTACCGGAGGGTATATATAAAAAAAAGAAAATATTGTGGTGCGGTTAAGGCAACGACTGATAATTCAGGGACACTAAACAAGCCGCCTTCAAACATTTCCGAGGGGATTTGATGTGATCTCATTTCCCACCTCTGAAAAACGCACAGTGCTTTTAGCTCCCTATCTGCCTGGAAGTGTAATGACAGGTGTCCCCCCCCCCAAAAAAAACACGAAGTCGCTAATTGCTGCTATTAAATAATTAACACCGTGCCTACAGATGAAAGCAAACAGAGAATCTGTGCCTGCTGGGTTTTATTTTTTTTGTGTGTGTGCAAACATCTGGGCTCTGCTGTCTCTTCAACAGCCCTTAAATCACTCTGAGTTTTGGTATCTAGACAGCATTTTTTTTTTTAATTTGATTTATATGCCGCCCTTCTCCGGAGACTCAGGGCGGTTTACAATGCGTTAAGCAATAGCCTTCATCCTTTTGTATATTTATACAAAGTCAGCTTATTGCCCCCACAAACTGGGTCCTCAATTTACCTACCTTAGAAAGGATGGAAGGCTGAGTCAACCTTGAGCCTTGGAGAGATTCGAACCAGCAGTAATTGCAGGCAGCTGGTCTTAATAACAGGGGTGCTTTAGACCACTGTACTACCAAGGCAAGCATTCAGATTGGAAGGACAATCCTGATTCAACAACTAAAAAACCAGATATAACCAGGTACCCATTTAAATACTAGACGTAGACTAGATCGAAGTACGCATTCCGGGGGAGAGAGATATTCTCAGAGGATGGGCTCCAGCACGAGTCTGAAAGCAACTCAACTCAACTCAACTCAACTCTTCTTTCTCCATCATTCTTCTGGGATTCCACAGAGAGAAAAACGACTGAGGGAGGGGCCAGACCGCCAGTTCCTCACATACCACCCCTAAAACCCTGTGGAGAGCAGGCTGATGGCTCAACCTCGTGAGTTTGGTCAACCTAGAGAGCTGGGAACACCGATGCCTTTTCAGGAGTGCAACCAACCCAGGGCAGCTTCTGAATTGCTTCACCAAGCAAATATAGAAACCTTTTAATTAAAAAATACCTTCCCAGTGCTTCAGGTCAACCGGCAGTTCTGTTACACAAGAGAATCAGGGGAAACGGGTGGACTTAAAAGGCAGCGTCCTGTGAGAACCTTCCTTGGGCTATCGTAACGCTAAACACACACCCTTAAGAGTTCAGTTCAGATTTATAAGTAGGTGTGCAGGTACGTACAGGTTCTCAGAAAGGTTTTAAGTTTCGCATCCAAAACAAAAAGGGCTGCTCCGTGTCGGGTTTATTTTTGCCCGGGGTCAGTGAGAGCGAGCGGGCCGGCGGCCATACAAATTTAGAAATAGAAATGAATAGAAATTATTTATTTAGAAAACACAGGTAGTCCTTCACCGACAACAGCTTGTTTAGTGACCGTTCCAAGTTACAACAACGGCACTGGAAAAAGGGACTTAACAATCGTTTTTCAGTTATGACCACTGCAGCATCCCTACGATCATAAGAGCCGAGGTGGCGCAGTGGTTAGAGTGCAGTACTGCAGGGCTACTTCAGCTGACTGCTAGCTGCAGTTCGGCGGTTCAAATCTCACCTCAAGGCTCAAGGTTGACTCAGCCGTCCATCGTTCCGAAGTGGGTAAAATGAGGACCCAGATTGTTGGGGGCAAGAGGCCGACTCTGTAAACCGCATAGAGAGGGCTGTAAAAGCACTGTGAAGCGGTATATAAGTCTAAGTGCTACTGCTATCGTGTGATCGGAATTCAAGACGCTTGGCCACTGACTCCTATTTATGACGGTTGCAGTGTCCCGGGGTCATGCGATCCCCTTTTGCGACCTTCCATCAAGCAAAGTCACCGGGGAAGCCAGATTCACTCAACAATCGTGTTACTATCTTAACAACTGCAGGGATTCACTTAACAAGTGTGGCAAGAGAGAGCATAAAATCGGACAAAATTCACTTAATAAACGTTTCACTTAGCAACGTTGTGGTCGTAGGTCAAGGGCGACCTGTATTTATGTTTGATTTCTATGCTGGCTGGGGAATTCTGGGAATTTTGGAAGTCCACAGGTCTGAAAGTTGCCAAGGCTGGAGACCCCTGATTATGTCATCCTTAAAGAGTCCACAATGACATGACAGCACATCAGGGGTGGGTTCTAAATTTTTTACTACCAGTTTTGTGGGCGTGGCTTATTTTGTGGGCGTGGCTTGATGGTCATGTGACAATTCTTTAGGATTTAGCAGAGGTACTGGTCTACCAGGCTTTTAACTGCTTCCAGAGCTGTATCCATCTACCCATTTATTTTTTGCAGGCACTGGGCTACTCATGTATTTTTGCAGGCACTGGTCTACCCATTTATTTTTGCAGGCATCTGTCTACTCATTCATTTTTGGAGGCACCGGTCTACCACCAAACTGCCTTTTACCATTGATCAGCTGTAGGGCGGCCCTTTGAAGCCCCGCGGCAAGAGTTTAAACAGGTTTTTTCCTTATAGCCCATCAGCTGGGACTCAGGAGGCAGCAATAGATTGGGGGTGGGGCCAAGTAAAAGGTAAGAATAATGTGGGGGGGGGCAGAACCGTTTCGGTGACGTCCTATCTTCACCGCTACCGGTTTGGTGGAACCGGGCGGAACCCACCACTGCAGCACATCATCCAATCAACAGTTAGACAAGACCCAGGGCGTTTGAATCGCAGACATTGCTTTAAACAAAAGTAAAACTTTTACCTTCAAAACTTTATCCACTTCCTGTTTGTCTAGATCTTCGCCATATTCCCGGGCTAGTCGGTTCTGAATGATGTTTCGACGCACCCGGTAGTTTTTGGAAAAGATTTCGAGCAAAATTTGCCGATGCTTGAGGAAAAAAAAAAAAGACATTGAAACAGCAAGAAAAATATCAAGCAAGCGCGAGAAATATCAAACCGGGGTTGATATAAAGCACCGTTGGTTTCATTGGCTGAATTTACTCGTTAATTTAGCTTGAATTTGGATGATCAAGACTTCTGCTTAATCAGCAGACTCCCGGAAAAAATAAAACCACCTCATGTTTCCATTACTTTGAACTAACAATTTGTTAATTTAATTTGTTTTTAAAAACAGGGGTGTTTTAATTAGTATGGGCCAAATTTATTTAATGTTTTTAAATTGTTTTTTAAATTTTATATTGTATCTGTTTTATCTTTGGCTGTTCACTGCCCTGAGTCCTTCGGGAGTAGGGCAGTATATAAATCTAAATAAACTCAAACTCGTATTTATCAATCTAATATATCTCTTTATATTATTGTTCTCATTTATCATATATTTAACAATGGCATTTTCATCCCATAAGGATCCCTTTCATATGTTATATTATTACATACATTTCCTATTTCATTTCCATGCTTTATTGTCTAGCCATTGATAAAATAAATCCCATATTGTATAATATTGCTTATCTTCCTGTTCCCTGATTTCAAATGTCAATTTACTCATTTCAGCACATTCCATAATTTTCTTAATAACTTCATCTTCCGAAGATGAGCAACTTTTAACGTGCAACTTTGGCGGGAGAATATTTTTTGCCTACCTGGTCGTGAATATCGCCAGCTTCCCAAAGTGCAAACACTTTTTGTTCGTCGGGTAACGCTGTGGTCTGCGGAGGAAACTAAAAAAAAAAACAAACAGAAAGCAAATTTACAGTGATTGGATTGACAGGGACTAAAAACGCACACAGAAGAAGGAATAGTGTTTGAATCTTGAGTTCATCAGAAGCAACTTGCATACCAATTTAAATTTGGATCTCCTAAAGGCAAAATCCACTTTCTTAGCAAGAGGACAGTCCGTAAAATTACTGAGATTCGAACAGAAGGTATAATTTTTTTGAGGGGAGTGGGAGAATTGAGAGTTTTTCTTTCCCTAAATCTCTCTGGGGAATTCTGGGAGTGGAGTTTACACATCTTAAAGCTACAGGCAACGTTTTACAGGCTATTTTACTCTGGATTTCTCCCCGTGAAGTTATGAAATCCCACAATCTCAGCAAAGTAATCACAGGAGGATCTACCTGTCATTAAAAAAAGGGGTCCCAGAAACTACAAGCGGCCCACTCCTATGTAAAAGGACCTATTTATTGGGCAATTAAGAAATCCAAATGCAAATTATAATAAAAAAATACAATATCTAATCCTACATATTATAACTGCAGCTAGGATTAGCTATGCATCAAATTGGGAAAATAATGTTATACCAAAAGACAAAGAGGGGAGAAGGAAAATTTTGGGACTGTCTGGAGATGGACAAATTGACGAAAGAAATAAAAGGAAAAGATGAAACGGACTATTACTTATTATGGGAAAAATGGTACAAATGATTAGAGGACAGGAATAACAAGCAAGAAAATATATAACAGAGATGATTTAGAAATCAGGAAGCATTAATAAAATATTAAATATATAATATGTGTAAAGTAACATGGATATAATAATTTGTATAATGAGTAAGGGATAGTATTTATAATATATAAGAAATAAGGGAATCACAAAAATAAGTATGTGAATATGTAGGGGGGAAAAAACATAAACTGTGCATATATACCAATAACGGAACCGTTGTAAAATGGAAATTTTTCTTTTGTTTTTAAAGAAAAAAATAATAAAAAATATTTAATAAAAAGAAAAAAAAAAGAAATCCAAATGCCTTTTGAATAAAGATGTCAAATGGAAGACATGTTCTCTCGATATAGTTCGAACAACCAATATCAAACCAGCAATTCGTAGTATTTACGTACTAGTTGTTATTATTGTTATATTTATATAACCTTCCGTTTTCCCCACTACAACCCTGTGAGATATGCTGAACTGAGAAACAATTATCCAACAGCTTTTCTTGGCTTGATTTAAACTACAAATCGTAGTGTCCTGCAATAAGGTAAAAAGGTTCCCCTCGCACATACGTGCTAGTCGTTCCCGACTCTAGGGGGCAGTGCTCATCTCCGTTTCAAAGCCGAAGAGCCAGCGCTGTCCGAAGACGTCTCCGTGGTCATGTGGCCGGCATGACTCAACGCCAAAGGCGCACGGAACGCTGTTCCCTTCCCACCAAAGGTGGTCCCTATTTTTCTACTTGCATTTTTTTTTTTTACCTACTTTCAAACTGCTAGGTTGGCAGAAGCCGGGACAAGTCACGGGAGCTCACCCCATTACGCGGCACTCGGGATTCGAACCGCTGAACTGCCGACCTTTCGATCGACAAGCTCAGTGTCTTAGCCACCGAGCCACCTGCAATAGAACACTTCAAAAATCTTTTTTTTTTTTTTGGTCCTATTCAGGGGAAGAAAAGATTAAAATTTTTATTTTTTGTTTCAACCAATTGTATTTTTCATCAAACTACTGTAAGCACAGACCTATTCTAAATTAAACCCTGCAGCAATAAGCCAAATTATTTTCATAAAGAGGCCGAACAAGATCACTTCTTTCTTAGCAAATCCGTGGTTTGCTTTAAAAATCTGAAGCTTGCGATGTTTCCAACTACACCACAACTCGGCAAGAAAACTATCTTTTGAAAGCAACCGTAACTGACAAATTATAAGACGTGAGGAAGGCTAGCAAGCTGAAGATTTTTAAGCACGGCTAAAGCCCACTTAAATATGGGCATCTTGTAGTTTATTATACTTGCTCCTTGGCCCGTCTGAGGCCTTCGCCCTAATCATGGCTTAGTTTGCTGACAGCCCAGCATGCATAATCAGACCCGGTAAGAGGAGAAGCCGGTAGGAGGGGGGAAAAAAAGCAGAAAATCCTGTTTCTCAGTTGCTTGGTGCAGATTTTTTTCCCCTAGGATATTTGCAACTGCAGACATAGCAACAACATTATCGTAATCTAGTGTTACAGGGAGCCGAAGAAAATGTTCCCCGTCTTGGAAACTCGTGTGCTCCAAAGCTATGACTCACAACCAAAACAGCCTTCACTTCTGACGCTGCCTTAAAGTTTATTCCTGTTGACTTTGCTCAGGTCCTGTTATAAATCACACACACCCTGCCTGCTCAACTCCGCAAACTAACTTTGGTTACTGTTTTTTTCCCTCCCCTTCTTGCAAACAAAATGCCTGCAGGCAAATTTCAGGAACACAAGTGGAAAAGTTCCGTGGAACAAGCTGGAGAAGGTCAGGTTTTTATTGCTCATCTTTTTAAGAAGTTTAATCTGCTGGATGTTTCCATATTTGGATGGATCTCAGATCCTGAAACAGGATCTGAAGTACAGGCACTGCCCTCGACTACCGACAGTTCATTCACAGTGACCGTTTTGAAGTGACAACGGCCCCGGAAAAAGTTATTTAGGATTGTTTCTCACACATATGACCATTGCAGCATCCCCACAGTCACGAGATTTACAGTCGGATGCTTGACAAGTGACTCACATGAAAAATGGTTGTAAATCACGTTTTTCAATGCTATTGTAACTAAATTAAACAGTTTAACAGTTGTTAACTAAACTAAACAGTCACTAAATGAATTGTTGTAAGTCAAGGACTTACCTGTGCTGGGAGAGATTTAATTTTTAATCCTGGCGTCCCCAAATTCTTCAAGTTTTAGATTGTTCATTGACACAAACACACCCAAATGTTACACGAAAATAATTTAAAAACTACTACTTTAATACACGTACTGTGTTTCCCCAAAAATGAGACCCTGTTTTATATTTTTTTTGAACCCCGAAATAAACGCTTGGCCTTATTTTCGGGGAGGTCTTATTATTTTGGGGCACGTGGAGAAGATGGGGCTCCTCTTGCAGTCTTACTTGATTTCCAGCTCTGTCTCCCTAACCCTAACCGGAGGAAATGGCGGGAACTGGCTGCTTATGCGTTTAAATATTTTCAGGGAGGGCTCATTTTAGCGCATGTGCTCAAAAGCCCGATAGGGCTTATTATCAGGGGATGTCTTATTTTTGGGGAAACAGGGTAGTAGATTCACTTCTAAAAATAATCGCACAAGAGGAGATCCACTTACAGGCACCATGATCTGCTTGCAGCCTATGTCCAACACCATGTCTTGTAACGTTTTGTCCGAAATTCCGCTGAACAAAAGATTCCCAGGAGGTAAACTAGCCAGATGAAGGTTAAATAACCGTTTAAGCTCGTTCAGAGTCAGGACATATTGTTTCTTAAAGGTGGCCCCCACAAAAGCTCGCAGTTCCTCGGTGACCCTCTCTGGAACCGGCATGTGGCCGTTGATGGAGTCCAGGCTATCTTCCAAATGGATCCCATTAACCAGTCCATTGTTGAGGTTCTCCGGGACAGAGGTCTCCATTGATTCCTCGTCGCTGACCGGTTCCTCCTTGATACGGACTCCAAGGAGGCCCGTTGGGTGAGGAGACTCGTCCAACCGGCTCTCGGCTTTCCTCTTTCGGTGGTCTTGGTCCAGCTGGCTGTAGCTCTGGTTGACTTTGGCCTTGGCCAAGTTGACCCTCTGCTCTCCAGAAATCACCACTGGAGCAGCTATGGAAAGGAGAACAAGAACCAGAGTTAAATGTCTATGGAGATTCTCAGTCATCCAAGGTCCATGGTTGTTCCAAAGAGGCTTTTTTTTTTTTTAATTTGATTTATATGCCGCCCTTCTCCGGAGACTCAGTGCGGCTTACAGTGCGTTAAGCAATAGCCTTCATCCTTTTGTATATTTATACAAAGTCAGCTTATTGACCCCACAAACTGGGTCCTCAATTTACCTACCTTAGAAAGGATGGAAGGCTGAGTCAACCTTGAGCCTTGGCGAGATTCGAACCTGCAGTAATTGTAGGCAGCTGGTCTTAATAACAGGGTGCTTTAGACCACTGTACTATCAAGGCTCGTCAAGAAGCAACTGGACTTTCTGGGTTTTTTCTTTGAAGACGTTTCCCTTTTCATCCAAGCAGCTTCTTCAGCTCTGAAGAAGATTCTTGGATGAGAAGCGAAACGTCTTCAAAGGAAAATACCAGAAAGTCCAATTGCCTCTTGAAAAAAGCCCCTTTGGAAGAACCAGGGTTCGCTTCGTTAGAACAAGAACCAGGATTAGCTTGGCCAAGATGATGCAAGAACTATGTTCTACCTAGATGTAGAGTACATAGGAAATTGTAGGAGGAGGACTGCTTTTGATGACTTCATTTCTTTAAAATAGCTCTTGAATCGTTCACACTGTTGTGGCCCACCAGCGGAGCTGGCAGCAGATTCGGACAGTGAGGAGGTTGGGGAGGAACCTGGGCCAGTCCTGGAGTCTGGGGAAGGCTCTGATGAGGGCTCTGCATTGGAGGCAGAGAGGGGGCCAGGGCCGTCGGACAGTTATCAGCTGCCTTCGGAGTCTGACATCAGTGAGGCAGAGGAACAGCTGGAGCCTGTTCCAAGTGTGCACATGCACAGAGTTGCCAGATGAAGGGAACAGCTAAAGAACAAGGGTCGACTCAGGAGTAAAGCCACAGATGGACGATGAATGGCCCCTCCCAGAGGGAATAAAAGAGGAGCGAAAGGGGAGTGGAGTTTGCAGGAGACAATTAGTTCACCTAATTGGTTCGTGACTCTCAGAGACTCTTTGCCAAGTTTTGAAGATATCGGCCTGGCAGCTCTCCAAGCCAGATAAGGTCTGTGGCTGTAAATTCTCCCTTGAAAGACTTTGCTGGATGTGAATGAGAGGAATTCACAGTAACTTAATAAAAAGGGGTTTTTGTCTGGACAAGGAGTCTACTTCGTGCTCTTGGGAAGCCTAGTTCAGAACACACACCTAGTTTTCCTCCAAGGTCTTATGCATTAAAAATAAACGAATCACCTCGTGGTTAGCCATGGTTTTTATTAGACCATGGTTGTCTAAGAAGCCGCCATAGCAGGATCGACTGAATCTAAGCCAAACCAGCTACCTAGTTATCTCTGGTTCTCCAAACACCTTACCTGGCTGTGCTGCTGGTTTCTTTGAAGCCAGGTGCTCTTTAGATAGGTTGTATACTTTTTCCAACCTGAAAATAAGAGAAAAGGAACAATTCGCCTCTGGAAAAAACTTTAAAGGCTCAGTCAGCAGGCACCAAGAATCTGCAGCACTTTGGATATGAAGAGGAACAGAGGTTTTGGGGGGGTGCAGACCCCACCTCTCAGTATCTCTTACAGGGAAATGTGTGTGTCTCTCCCCCAGATTCACACAGTAGAACTACAATCCCAGGAAAAAAAGGGGAAGGGGAAAGGAAAGGAAAGAAAGAAAGGAAAGGAAGGAAGGCAAAGGAAGAAAGGAAAGGGGGAAGGGAAGGGAAGGGGGAAGGAAAGGAAAGGAAAGGAAAGGGGGAAGGGAAGGAAAAAGACGGAAGTGAGAGAATGGAAAGGGAAGAAGTAAATGCAGAAAGGGAAAGGGGAAGAGGAAGGGGAAGGCAAGGTGAAGAAGGGATGAAGAAAGGGAAGGGGAGGAAAGGAAAGGGGGAAGGAAAATGAGGGAAGGGAAGTGGGAGAATGGGAAGGGAAGGGGTATATGCAGAAAGGGGAAGGGAAAAGGGAAAGAAAGGAAGGAAGGAAAGGAAGAAGGAAAGGGAAGGGGGAAGGGAAGGAAAAAGGAAAGTGAAGGAAAGGGGGAAGGAAAAGAAAGGAAAGAAAGGAAAGGGGGAAGGGAAGGAAAATGAGGGAAGGGAAGTAGGAAAATGGAAAGGGAAGGGGGAAATGCAGAAAGGGGAAGGGGGAAGGGGAAGGCAAGGTGAAGAAGGGATGAAGAAGGAAGGGAAGGGAAAGGAATTACTTACTTGGCTTGAATGCCCATCCAAAGCATTTTTTGCCTCTGCACCACATCTGGATGTTTCTTGACAAAATCTTCGTCATAGCGGAGCTTGAATTCCCACCCTCGGTTTATCCTCAAGAAAGAGACGTGTTCCAGGAAGTCTTTTACATCTTCTGGACCAAGCTGGCACAAAAGAACAGATTTATTTTTTTTAAAAAAATTAAAAATCATTTTCACAACAAAAGGCAGCAAATGCTGCACAATCTGGCTATTCATAACTTGTTTCAAAACACCTAGCTAAACATCTTGCCCTGCACCTGGAGTGGTGTGACTGGGAGGCATCTCCAGTTGGGACGATGCATTGACTGGACCATGTGATGGATGTGTGGGTGCAGGGGGAAAGGGACTTGGACTTTCCTTTGGGTGGGGAAAACCTGGAAGCTTTCAGATTCGAGTATTCCCAGATGTGCCAATATGACATCTCTAATAAAATGGAACTTTGAGGAACTTCAAGCCTCGGAGTCTTCTTTCGTTGGGGGTGTTACTTAGAAGCCTGACAATAACCACAAGAAAATCCCAGTTGCCTTTTGAAAAAAGCACTTTTGGGACCTGGAAAATTGAGAATCTCCGCAGAAGGAAATAAATGGTTGTAAGTCGAGCACGACCTATAATCGGATAGAGAAGAGAACTGCATTTATGGGAATAATGGCCACCCCGAAGCTTGGGGTGTGGTCATCCAGAGAAAACAGAGAGACGGGACTACGCCCTAATCGACACAAACTTTCTTCAAAGAAGGAACCTGCTACCACTTGTTTGTGAGCTCAAATATGCATGTATGCATGCGTGTTCATACACAAACACATATGCATATTAAAAAGACGCGCTTGTTTGCTTCTCAAGTATTGGGGTGTGGGTGCAAATGACATGCCAGTAATATAAAAGTAATCATCTGTGGAATTTTAGAGGATTGCATTTTTGGAGTTGCGCATCCTCTTTGAAAGAGGACACTCTCGACCTTTTGAATTTTAACTCCATCATCATGCTAATAACAAGAGGCAGAGATTTAACTCTGAGGAGGGACAAGCCAGGATCTGCAGAGCGGGAAAGTTTATTTCTAATTTAGAAGCCTTTGTGGGGTTCCATCTTTGCTGCTTATTGTGCAAGCCAGTTACTCTAAACGTAGCTATTAACAGTTTTAACAGATTAACTGAGTTGGAAGGGACCTTGTAGGTCATCTAGTCCAACCCCCTTCCCAAGCAGGGGATTCTATACCATTTCTGACAGATGGCACTCCAATCTCTTCTTGAAAGCCTCCAGTGATAATTCTCCCACAACTTCCGAAGGCAACTTCTGTTCCATGGGTTGATTGTTCTCACTGTCAGAAAATTTCTCCTTATTTCCAGGTTGAATCTCTCCTTGTTCAGTTTCCATCCGTTATTCCTTGTCTGACCTTCGGGTGCCTTGGAAAACAGCTTGACATCCTCTCCTCTCTGTGGCAGCCCCTCAAATATTGGAACCCTGCTATCCTATCTCCTCTGGTCCTTCTCTTCACTAGACTAGCCAGGCCCAGTTCCTGCAACCGTTCTTTGTATGTTTTAGTCTATTAGAATGAACAAAGATCATTCAAACAGCCAGGGACGTCCCCATTTTAAAACATTATAAATCAAACCTGGTTTGTCTGTCACACAGAACAAAACAGGCCTCCAATCTCAGGCGCGATGCCATTTGGTGGCATTTAGAAAACCACAAGATCTCTAGTCCTAAGGTATGCATCCTATATTTTTTTCCGGTCATCACATCTGGGCCACCAGGCTGATGATATATGGACTTCAGTTCCCAGAATCCCCCGGTCAGCACAGCCACTAGAGTGGATTCTGGGAAGTGGTTTATAAATCTGGAAAGAGGCCCAGATGGGAAACCAACAAGCAAAATTTGGGGAAATCCTGTCTCGACCAGGAGTCCTCCGAACCTGGCAACTTTTAAGACTTATGGATTTCAACTCCCAGAATTCCTCAGCCAACTATGCTGGCTGAGGAATTCTGGGAGTTGAAGTCCACAAGTCTTAAAGTTGCCAAGTTTGGAGATGCCTTACCTAGCCTGAATTAAAAAAACAAAAGTTTAGGAAGAAACTTACTTTTGTTACAGCAGCAACTTCCTTCCGTACCACCCACCGATCCTGGGTGAATTTCCATATCTGGAAAAAAAAAAAGGAAGATAAGTTTCAACCTGGTGAATGCCTTTATGTCCATGTTATAAGATACAGTAGTGGCCAAAATTGTGGAAACCTTTTTGGGAAAAGTGTATTTTTGAGGTTTGATGGCTAATAAAGTTGTGGGGCAATAAGCTGACTTTGTATAAAATATACAAAAGAATGAAGGCTATTGCTTAGTGCATAGTAAGCCGCCCTGAGTCTCCGGAGAAGAGCGGCATATAAATCAAATTAAAAAATAATAATAAAAAAAATAATAATAACACCACTTCTTTTTTGGGGGGGAGTTTCAAGATAATCCTATTCCACTGCTGGAATGGCCTGGGAATAGCCCAGATCTTAACCCAATTGAAAAAACTATGGAGCCGGCTAAAGAAACTTGTTAGTCAGAAGCGACCCAGCAATAAAACCCGGTTAATAGAAGCCATCCTTCAATCTTGGTTTCACATTAGAACAGCTGCAGAACTAAAAGACTTGGTTCACTCCATGGGAAGACATTGTAAGGCCGTAATTCGTGCTAAAGGTTACCTAACTAAGTATTAACTGACATGGTGATCATTTTTGTATATCTCGTTTTTTCTACGGTGATAATTTTTATGTATCTCGTTTTTTCTATGTGTTTCACTTTTCTTTTTTATACTGTAACTGCTATTCTAATAGCAAATCCTTTATAAAAGTTACTGCATTGCATTCTTGATTAAATTATCTTTTCATTGATATATAATGTTATGGTACTACTCCAATAAAAAAAGTGGTATTATTAGCTAGTTTTAGAAAATACATTTTTCCCAAAAGGTTTCCACAAGGTTCACCTGCAATACTGCATTCTAACCACTGCGCACCATGGATGGATGGATGGATGGAAGGGAAGATATTGAGAGTGGAAGGAAGGGAGTGAGTGAGTGAGTGAGTGAGTGAGGGAGGGAGGAAGGAAGGAAGGAAGGAAGGAAGGAAGGAAGGAAGGAAGGAAGGAAGGGAAGGAGCAATAGCACTTAGACTTATATGCCGCTTCACAGTGTTTTACAGCCCTCTCTAAGCAGTTTACAGAGTCAGCCTCTTGCCCCCAACAATCTAGATCCTCATTTTAAATGGCCCAGACATAAAATTATAACAGACTTCTCAAAATGGACATCAAGCTCTTGCTGCAGAAGGAACATTCGAGAAGGAACAAATGCATTCTTGGTTGGGCGTTTTGGTACTCACAACAAAATCCCTTCCTCGGCACAGGACTTCAGCTGGGACGCCACTGTGTGGGCTGGAGGTATCTTTGGGGTAAAGGATGTCACTGTGTCAGGGGTAAAGATAAACACTGATTAGCCGTAGCGCACTATCAACCAGTCAGGCAAAAAATCCAGCCCGATCTTGCAATATGGGTAGTCCTCAACTTATAACCACAATTGAGCCCAAAACCTGCAACCGTTCGAAGTTATGAGGGACCTTACTTGGCGGGAGCTGACAACCCAGATTTGAAGTTCTGATGGTCAGCTCCCATGGGTTTGCTTAACGACGATTGCACTTCCTTAACGACTAACGCAAACAAAGCCATGAAAACGAGTTGACTACATTGGTTGACCTGATATACGACCACACCATAGGTTACAATTGGGATGGGCAGGTGCCATTACGGTCGTAACTCGAGGATTATCTACATAGCAACCAGAAAGCACAGGGGGCCCCCCCATTGTTGGAAATTTAGAATTTGGCAGGCCAATCTGCAATTATTTGTATTTGTATTTATTATTATTATTATTATATTATTTATTTATAATATCTATTTATTATTATTATTATTATTATTATTGTTATTATTATTAATATTAATATTATTTATTAATATTTGTATTTGTATTTATTATGGCTGTTCACCGCCCTGAGTCCTTCAGGAGTAGGGCGGTATACAAATATGAAAAATAAATAAATAAATAAATAAATTAGCAGCATGCAATACAAATAAAGCTGATTTTTCTGATCACCTTTTCACCACCCAGTTTCCCTGGACTAGCAGCGCCACCTGCTGGATGCTTCGCAAAACTGCAGTCGGATCCGTCCCAGAGGCCAGGAGGCTCATTAAACTGGCAAAAGCGATGACTTTCACTGTTAGGGGGCGAAAAAAGCAGGGATCCATCAGCCCCAGCCAGCTAGAAGCCCCCCCGCCCCCTTCCCAAATTTTAATGGGAATTTTAGATGCTTTTATTGTTTGAATTTTAATTTGGACTTGTTGTTGCTTATTGCTGTGAGCCGCCCTGAGTCCTTGTGGAGAAAGAGCGCATATAAGTCCAATAAATAAATAAAGAAATAAAAACAGGGAAACTGGAGAGCAACAGGAAGGGCTGATCAAATCCAGATGCTAAGAATCCTACCCAGAATTCATTAACGGGCCTCAATCAGGAGGTACCATTCTCAACAAAAGCATCTTAGTTACTAATACTTGGAGGGGAGACCACTCAGAGATCACTTGTCAGATGGAATAGAAGTTGGAGAAACTCCCCCCCCCCCGCCCTCCCCAAGACAGGAACAAATGTTAAGAGTAACAGGGCAGTCCTTGAATCCTACGCTCACCAAAGACCCACTCGCTCGCTGAAGCGAGCAAAACAATTTAGCAAAGGGAAAAAGAGAAAATAGGAGAACCTACCATTTTTCATCAGAATCTTAATCTGGTCGGCCAAAGGGAGTGTTCGCAACTGAGCCATGGGCAGCACATTGCTTGGCGCTACCGGTTTTTCCCTGTAGGTAAAATAAAATAGCCATTAATTCCTGGCTCCTCAAACTATATGCCTTCCTTTGAGGACCTGTATACTGCACGAGTCAAAAAAGAGGGCTGTGAAAATTCTACAGACCCCTCACATCCTGGACATAAAACTGTTTCAACTCCTACCCTCAAAATGATGCTATAGAGCACTGCACACCAGAACAACTAGACACAAGGACAGTTTTTTCCCCGAATGCTAAACAAATAATTCCCTCAACACTGTCAAATAATTTACTAAGACTGTATTACTATTATTCTTCTCTTCCTTACTAGTATCTATCTCTTCCCACTTATGACTATAACCATGTTGCTTGTATCTTTCAATTGTATTGTTTTTATTTGTTTCCTAGTACGATTTGATAGCTTATTAGTAACCTATGACTATCACTAAGTATCTTTTTACTCTTGATGAATGTATTTTATCCTCCTTATGTACACTGAGAGCATATGCACCAAAGACAAATTCCTTGTGTGTCCAATCACATTTGGCCAATAAAGAATTGAATTCTATTCTATTCTATTCTATTCTATTCTATTCTATTCTATTCTATTCTATTCTATTCTATTCTATTCTATTCTATTCTATTCTATTCTATTCTATTCTATTCTATTCTATTCTATTCTATTCTATTTTAGTTTTTCGCTGTGCCCTCAAGACCCTGCTCTTCCGACAGGCAGGGCTATCTTTGTAAAGTAGTTTTTAAATTCGGAGTTTTAAATTTTTGGGTTTTTAACAAAACTTGGCCGTAAATGTAATAATTTTAATAATTTTTAAATTTAATTGGGATTTATATTGTGTTTTTTACTTGGCTGTGCACTGCCCCGAGTCCTTCGGGAGAGGGGCGGTATAGAAATAAAATTCTCTCTCTATTCTATTCTATTTCTATTCTATTCTATTCTATTCTATTCTATTCTATTCTATTCTATTCTATTCTATTCTATTCTATTCTATTCTATTCTATTCTAATTATATTTAAAGTTCTTAGCTTAGTGTTTCTGTGTGTAAACTCAACCGATAAGAATCATCTAAGCTACTTAAGAACTGAAGAAGCTTCCTGGATGAAAAGTGAAACGTTTTCAAGGAAAAAAAATCAAGAAAGTCCAGTTGCCTTTTGGAAGGAGTACTTTTGGGACAAAAGTGACCTGGATGATGGAGAATCTCCATAGAACTAAGCTACTTACTTTTCTTCTTCTACGCTTGGTGGAACCAGCATCATCAAGTATTCACTGTGGAGAAAGAAGAAGGATATGGATTTGCCTTGAGAAAGGAACATAAACAAAATTGTCATTAGAAACCAGTAGAAGGTAGCTGGCTTAGTCATCTGAAAGAAATCCAAGCCAATCAAATGCATAAAATGTGGGGCATCTGGTCCTGCGTTTTTCTAAGCAACAATATTGACAATGGTCTTGCAAGAGGAATGGTGGCTCGGCATCTCGGCATCTCCTCATTAGCAGCCCAACTGATCTTGGGGGGGAAAGTGGACTAGATTTCAATGATTTATCTTCTCCCCTTTCCTCACCTTGGCGATTTAATTAATTCCGTGTTCCCAGCCATGCTGTGACCTTGGCTGAATAAATACTGGCGCTCGTGCTCGGAACGACTATCCTAGGAGAAACAGAAGAGGAAGAGCCATGGATTCCACCAGCTTTAATGGACATTTCACAACTATTGCATGAAAATATACAGGCAGGAGCTAAGCTTAAACTGTTTTTTTCCTGTTCAGGAAAAAGAAGAAGAGTTTTAGGAAGGAGAAGGGAAGAACAAAGGAAGGAGGGAAGAAAGAAAATAGGGAAGGAAGGGAAAGGGAACGGAAGGAAAAGGAAAGAGAAAGGGAAACGAAAGGAGGGAGGGAGGGAGGGAGGGGAGGAAAGGGAAAGGGAAAAGAAAGAAAAGGAAAGGAAAGGAAGGGAAGGGAAGGAAAAAGGAAAAGGATCATGGACTATTTGGAACTGACACCTATTTCTTTTCCCCTCTGTAATCAACTGTCATGAAGCTGTCATAGTTTTAATAATTCTCACAGGGGAAGAAGAAGATCTGGAAAACCAATCTACCATCAGATTGTATAAAACTGGGGAGGGAGGAAGTCAAATCAGCTTCTTTAGCAGACCATTTCTGCAGATGTAATAACACACTGGCTGAGTTTGCCGTTTGTGTGAGACCACCTATTGTTAGCAACGGTTAGCAGGGGCCAGCAACTTCTAGCCATAATGCCACACGAGGTCCTCAAATCCCCTTTCCTCATCCTTAGAACCATATTCCTGAAAATGACCAGCAGTTCCTTAACATGTTGGAAGTAGGAAATACACCCAAAGTGGAACAAAGCTGCTTGTTGTTGTTGTTTTAAGAAAAAGTAAACCTCTCGATAACCAGGATAAAAAAAGGGGAATTTTTAGCTCCACCCTTATAAATGATCTGGCTCCGCCCACTGTGGTCCTTTCTTCCTTTGCCAAAACATTGTGTCACTTTTGCCCCTAAAAGTTTACACCCTCCAAACCGTTCCTTAAACCCCATTAATGATGGATTATTCAACAAACTAGGGTTAAACAAACCATAGTTTAATGTGCTACGCAAACACAGTCCTGGAAACCTACCTTCAAACCGTAATAATGGAGGTGAACCCAATGTTCTTCTGCTTGTCTTTTCTGCAGGAATTCGTAAGATTGAACTCGCCGCTGGCGGGCCTGCTCCGATTCTGGCCGGGAGAACCTCACCTGAAAAGAGACCTTCCTGTTATTATTCGATACAATAAGAATTCCCAATGAGATCAGGAACGGGCGAAGATCTTCTCTTTCAAAGAATGGACACCACCTTTGTCTAACACAGGGGTCTGCAACTTTAAACACTCAAAGAGCCATTTGGATCCGTTTCCCACAGAAAAGAAAACACCGGGAGTCACAAAACCCTTCCCGTGCCTGACTATTTCCTGAGCAGCCACAAAACTAGCATATTAAACGTTCTGTTTTCTTCTGAAACTTTTCTTTTCTTGGGTTTATCCATGGTTGGCCTACCGGGGGTTGAAAAGCTCAATAAATCTTGTGCTGGCGGGTGTCGCACATTGGCGGTTGTGACGCATGTTTTGAGTGACAGGAAGCCACAGCAGAGGGGTGAAAGAGCCACATGCGGCTCCAGAGCCACAGGTTGCCGACCCCTGGTCTAACAGCAACCAAAAGAAAGAATTGAGAGATACTGAATTCAAAAATGACTTCCAAATGACTCTGGGCAGTTTAGCACTAGAATCTATCTATCTATCTATCTATCTATCTATCTATCTATCTATCTATTATCTATCTATCTATCTATCTATCTATCTATCTATCTAATCTATCTATCTATCTATTATCTATCTATCTATCATCTATCTATCATCTATCTAATCTATCTATCTATCTATCTATTCTATCTATCTATCTATCTATCTATCTATCTATCTAATCTATCTATCATCTCTTAAAAAGTAAAAAAGATGTCACAGGCTGGAAGAGCAAAACAATAATAATAAAAAAAGCAAGTCATTTTCCCAAAACAAAACAAAATTTATTGTCGTCGTACGTCAAGGACTACACCTGTTCAAACTTGTTGCCAAGAACCCGAATTTTGCTCACGGAACTGTGAGAGGAAGCTGCGAGAGTTGTAAACAGTGAGGACCGGTCCATCAGTCCCTTTTTTGGTGCAGCTTGGAATGGTCACTAAACAAACAGTTGTAAGTCGAGGACTACCTGTATATTCCTGGGAGTTAAGACAGGCGTCAGAGAACACCTTGACGTACCGTGATTTGCTTGACGTCTTCCTCAGCCTCATCCTGGGAAGAGTCCCCATCTGTGATGAGAAAAAGGTGGGTATTAAAGAGAAAGCATCTTAACAGCTAATAGTTGCTGCATGTGGGAACATACACAAACCTAGATAAATTATCAGAGCTGCAAAAGAAACGTGGGGAAAATAGCCTGTTTTACCCCATAATGGGAAATTGGCTGAATTTAGAATGCCAATAAGATGGATGTTTGCAGCAGAAATCTGATTAGCAACAGCACTTAAGACTTATATACTGCTTCACAATGCTTTTACAGCCCTCTCTAAGCGGTTTACAGAATCAGCATACCTCCCCCAACAATCTGGGTCCTCATTTTACCGACCTCAGAAGGATGGAAGGCTGAGTCAACCTTGAGACTGTCAGGATTGAATTCCTGGCAGAAGGCAATCTGCAATATTGCATTCTGATGGATAGGTAAGATGGATGGATGGGTGGGTGGGTGAAGAAGGAGAAGGAGAAGGAGAAGGAGAAGAAGAAGAGGAGGAGGAGGGGGAGGGGGAGAAGGAGGGGGAGGGGGAAGAGGAGGAGGAGGAAGAAGAAGAAGAAGAAGAAGAAGAAGAAGAAGAAGAAGAAGAAGAAGAAGAAGAAGAAGAA